GCTCAGGGCAAATCTAAAAGCATATTACTAATATTTCTTCTGTTAAAAGTTTGGAGCTTCATAAAGACACACAGACACACACACTCTAGATTTATTTCTGAAAATGCTGTAGCATATTTTTATAGTCAAAAGAGTGGGACAAGCAATAAATTCATTAGGTCAGGGGTCCCCAACCTCTGTGACCTAATGCCTGATGATCTGAGGTGGAGCTTATGTAATGATAATAGAAATAAAGTGCACAGTAAGTGTGTAATGTGCTAGAATCATCCTGAAACCATCCCCCTATCCCTGGTCTGTGGAAAATGTTTCTTCCACAAAAGCAGTCCCTGGTGCCAAAAAGGTTGGGGATCACTGCTTTAGGCTACAGAATAATAACCAGAATTGTTTTAAGCATATTCTTTGGCCACTGAAGTGGGGTGGGGGGTGGTGACTCTGACTAGACTAGTCTATAAAGTACTTGAGGGGAGTCCTTAGAGATAAAACCTGGATGGTAAATTGAAGGGGACCCTAGAAAGGCTATTTTATTCTGTAGTACCGGGGAGCCACTGAGGGCTATTAAGTAGCAGTGGAAAAGAGTCAGGCTTTTGCTTTTCATATCCTGTGCTGATATCACAGTATTTAGGCATAGTAATTGACATGTCAACACAGTTTAAAAAATTGGAGCCCAAATGCCTCATCTTAGAAATTCTCCAAGTCTCCCTTTCCCTCTTTTTAAATTGGGGTTAATGCTTTACTCCAAAGCTGATATGAAGGCTACGTGAAATACTGTCTGAAGTACTTATTACTCATTTCATTCTTAAGACCACGCCTCCTCATTTATCCCGACTCATTTAATTATTTTACTTCATTTACTTGTCACACTTCTTGTAGTGCCGAAGGAGTAGGACCCATCACATATGCTTTCTCAGGCTCTGATCTCTAGGCTTTTCTTTTTTTTTCATTTATTTTTAATTGAAGGATAATCGCCTTGCTACATTGTGTTGGTTTCTACCCTACATCCACATGAACCAGCCATAGGCACACACATGTCCCCTCCCTCCTGAACCCTCCCACCTTCCATCCCATCCCATCCCATCACTCCAGCAGTCACAGAGCCCCAGTCACAGAGCCCCAGTCACAGAGCCCCAGTCCTACAGCAAATTCCCACTGGCTGTCTGTTTTACATATGGTAATGTATCTGTTTCCATACTGCTCTCTCCATTTGTCCCACCCTGCCCTTCCCCCACCGTGTCCACAAATCTCTTCTCTATGTCTGTGTCTCCATTGCTGCCCTGCAGATAGGTTCATCAGTACCATCTTTCTAGATTCCGTATACATGTGCTAATATACCATATTTGTTTTCCTCTTTCTGACTTACTGTATTCTGTATACTAGGCTCTAGGTTAATCTACCTCACTAGAACTGACTCAAATGCATTCTTTTATGGTTGAGTAAAAATATCAACAACCTCAGATATGAGGATGACACCATCCTTATGGCAGAAAGTGAAGAAGAACTAAAGAGCCTCTTGATGAAGGTGAAAGAGGAAAGTGAAAAAGTTGGCTTAAAGCTCAACATTCAGAAAACTAGGATCATGGCATCTGGTCCCATCACTTCATGGCAAATAGATGGGGAAACAGTTCAAACAGTGGCTGACTTTATTTTTCTGGGCTCCGAAATCACTGCAGATAGTGATTGCAGCCATGAAATTAAAAGACACTTACTCCTTGGAAGGAAAGTTATGACCAACTTAGACAGCATATTGAAAAGCAGAAACATTACTTTGTCAACAAAGGTCTGTCTAGTCAAGGCTATGGTTTTTCCAGTAGTCTGTATGGATGTGAGATTTGGACTACAAAGAAAGCTGAGCACCGAAAAATTGATGCTTTTGAACTGTGGTGTTGGAGAAGACTCTTGAGAGTCCCTTAGGCTGCAAGGAGACCCAACAAGTCCATCTTAAAGGAAATCAGTCCTGAATATTCATTGGAAGGACTGATGCTGAAGCTGAAACTCCAATACTTTGGCCACCCGATGTGAAGAACGGACTCAGTGGAAAAGACCCTGATGCTGAGAAAGATTGAGGGCAGGAGGAGAAGGGGACAACAGAGGATGAGATGGTTGGATGGCATCACCGACTCAATGGACATGGGTTTGGGTGAACTCCAGGAGTTGGTGATGGACAGGGAGGCCTGGCGTGCTGCAGTTCATGGGGTCACAAAGAGTTGGACACAACTGAGCGACTGAACTGAACTGAATATTCCATTGTATATATGTACCACTCATATTTATCCATTCATCTGTTGATGGACATCTAGTTTGCCTCCAGGTCCTAGCTATTGTAAATAGTGCTGCAATGAACACTGGGCTACATGTGTCTTTTTCAATTATGGTTTTCTCAGGTTACATGCCCAGTAGTAGAATTGTTGGGGGCGTATGGTAATTTTATTTCTAGTTTTTAAAGGAATCTTCATACTGTCTTCCATAGTGGCTATATCAATTTACATTCCCACCAACAGTGCAGGAGGATTCCCTTTTCTCCACACCCTCTCTAGTATGTATTGTTTGCAGGTGTTTTGGTGATGGCCATTTTCACTGACAAGAGGTGATATTTCATTGCATTTCTCTGATAACGAGTGATGTTGAGTATCTTTTCATGTGTTTATTAGCCATTTGTATGTCTTCTTTGGAGAAATGTCTGCTTAGGTCTTCTGCCCACTTTTTGATTAGGTTGTTTGTTTCTCTGGTATTGAGCTGCACGAGCTGCTTGTATATCTAGGCTTTTCTTATTGAGTGTATCACTGATAAAGATGTTCCTGCCATTGTTGCTGTTAGGCCAGGCAATTTGCTAAGTGCAGTGCATACATGATCTCACTTAAACCCTACAAAATTATTAATATTCCCATTTAGTTGATAAGAACACTGAGACTTAGAGTATTTTGCCCAAAGTCACCCAGCAATTAAATGAGGCAGGGCCTGCATTCAAACCCTGGCTTATCTAGCTCTAGTTCCTATGCACTTCACCATTAACTGCACAAAATGCCTTTTATGTGCAGGCTTCTCCCTCTAGCAGCTTTCCAAGCACTTTATCAGGACTTCATTGGCCTATTTACAGCATAAAATGCTATGTTATCAGGCTTCCCAATAGGCCTCCCCCACTAAACTGAGTCTTCTGAGGGCCAAATCTTTGTCTCAGACACCTTTGTTCCCCAAGCACCCTGTATTGCTTGGTGAACACTGGGCTCATTCATTTATTCCTTCTGCAGATATTTAGAAAACGTTTGCTATAAATGAGGTGCTATGCAGGAAGAGAAGAGGACAACAGAGGACGAGATGTCTGAATGGCATTACTGATTCAATGGACGTGAGCTTAAGAAAATCCGGGAGATGGTGAAGGACAGGGAAGCCTAGCATGCTGCAGTCCATAGAGTCACAAAGAGTCAGACAGAACTGAGTGACTGAACAACAAAGGAGCTATGCTAGTGTTAGGTCAATAAAACAGGGATACCAACAAAGACCCCTTTGGTACTGTCAACTTAAACAATACTCACAGCCTAAAACTTGAGTTATGTTTTGTTTGGTGGGAATTTTTAGGACTTCAAGCCCCAAAGGCAGCATCTCAAGTAACCTTGAGAGAACTGCTCTGTGGAAGCAAGGGGTGGGGTAGTCAAGATTATACAGAAGTTTTGCAACAAAGGGCAGTTACTACAAAGGTCAAAAGATTATTGTTAATTAAGGAAAACCAGGTATCTCAAGTTCATAAATTCAGTGCTTTTCTATGTATGAGACTATGCAAGAGTCTAGGCTCACCGAAATCATTCCTTTGATAAGCACTCCAGCTATCTGGGACCAATATGCTCTAGTTTCACATCCTGCATTCGGTCAGCGCTCACCAGTAGGTAGTGGCTACAGTCTGATGGTTACTAGATGGCAGGTATTCTTTCCTTCCAGAGTTCCCTCAGGGCTCACCAGCTCACTTTGGAGGACTATAATCTCTAATGAAGTGACAGGCTTTGTTTATTGATTTGGCAGGCAATAGCCCATTTCTCGGTACCAATATAGGGAGAAGATAATTGGAACACTGGGTAAGCACTATCAGTTACATACATGTAAGGTAAAATGAAAATGACTATAAAGTTTGGACAGAATTTCACACACGTTTGTAGAGAAAAGTAAAAGAGAACAATTAAAACTTCTATCTCCAGAACAAGAGGATGTGTCTTGTGAGCAACCCAGAAACTATTTCCAGAGGTGAAGTTTACAGTTCCAAGAGTCTGAAGACCCAGAAAATTGCATTTTGGTAGAGATCAAGTCTTGTATCAAGCTTTTAAAGTTTCTCAGAGAGTCCAGGAGATGAGGGAGAGTGGGTAGACAGCCCTGTCCCTCATCAAAAAAATTGCATCGCTGTAACCTTCCGCTAGTCTCTGGGATTGCAGGTTTACAGATCAGGGCACGCTCCCCGGAGCTTACATGCTAATATAACTTCAAATCGTGGACAAGTGGTCTAGAGAAGAGGATCACTTCCGGTAGGTAGTCGTGAAAACCTCATTGAAGAGGTGATTTCCGAGTTGAAATCTTTAAGGTTTATTAAGTGTTTAAAGAGCGACTGATTGATGAATGAAGAGCAATCTAGCAGTTGTCAAGGGCGGTAAAGAAAGTTTCTCTTTGGCGTCAAGTCATAATGAAAAGGAACAGCGGGGAAGAAACACTTAGGAGTGTCCGAGAATACTGCTTTTCACAGCCCTCAGGCTGAAAAAAGAAAACGCATCTCCGCCTCCGTTCCCAAAGCCAGGGATACACCTGAGAAAGGGAAAAGCAGCGACTCCCCGGCTACCGCTGGGGGCGGGGCTACGGCTGGGGCGGGGGCTACGGCTGGGGGCGGGGCTACGGAAGCCGAACCGGCGCCGGGGCGCTCAGCCGGGGCAGTGTGCGCAGGCCCGGGGTACTCGGTGGGCTGAGGTGCCTCCCGCCCCGGCCCGCCCCGGCGCGCCCCCGCCGCGCTCCCCGCCCACACCCGCACTTACTTCCGCAGTCGCCGGCTTCCCGGAGCCCAGACGCAGCTTCTGAGTCGTCCGGCGGCTTCTGTTGGGTCAGCGGGCGTGAGGATCTCGCGGCGGCGTGTAGTCTGCCCCGCTCGGCCGTTGTGCGCCTGTCCGCTCGACCGCCCGGCGGGCCGGCTGAACTCCCTCACGTGTTCCCCGGCTGGTCCGGGGGGTCCGGGCACCGCCTCCACGGCGGCCCCGCCGGACCTGCGGTCGGGGCCGCAGCCCGAACCTGGAGCGGACGGCGTCATGAGGCACCTGCCGTATTTCTGCCGCGGCGAAGTGGTGCGGGGCTTCGGCCGCGGCTCCAAGCAGTTGGGCATCCCTACAGGTGAGCGCAGGAGAGCGCGGAGTCCCCCCACCCACCCTTGGCTGGGTCACCTGGGAGCGGAGCGGGGACGTCAGCCGGGGGAGCTCCAAGCTGGGTCGTGGGACTACGGGCAGAAATGACACTTTGCTCCGCCCCGTCCCTCTTTGTTGAGGCAGAAGACCTTTGGTCGGGCTGATGGTGCGCGTCTTTGCTCTTGGCTCAGAACTCACCCGGCTTGTCGGGTGATGCCCTCAGAAAGCTGAAGTTGAGTTTCAGGATCCCTCTTGCCCGCCTCCCAGTCCAGCTGTGATCAAACCACCAAGCGTGGCGCCTGTTTTGCCTTTTAGACAATGTAATGTGGGCCAGATAGGGTAAATTCTTAAGCCAGCAATATGGTTTACTTTCTTTAAATATGTTAGTAAATTGTGTCTAAATGACGACAGGCACTTGAATGAGAACCAGGTATCATTTTGGTCTTTCTACGTTAGTTTTCGTAGTCAGGACCTGAAGGTATGCTTAATCATCCTTAAAAGTACCTTCCGGGGCTGCCTTTAGACCTGTTAAAGTAGTCTTTGAGCTTGGGGCCTAGGCATGTGTATTTCAAATAATAAGAATCTTTTCAAGAGATTCTGAGCCTCTTTAAGAAAGGCCAGGGCTAAAAACCCAGCTGTTCATGTATTTATTTTTCTTCTACTCTGAGACTTTACATTTTTTGATACACTTATATAACTAACCTGGTACCTTACACACTTATAATCTGGTACTTTTTTCCTAACCAGTTGGTATGAAGAAGAGAAAGAAATCCTAGCCAGAGTATGAAATGATGGTATTAATAGTCTTAGAGTCCTAGGAATCTTTTTTTTTTTTTTCTCTATTTTTATTAGTTGGAGGCTAATTACTTTACAATATTGTAGAGGTTTTTGTCATACATTAACATGAGTCAGCCATGGATTTACATGTATTCCCCATCCCGATCCCCTCTCCCAGCTCCCTCTCCCTCTGGGTCTTCCCAGTGCACCAGGCCCGAGCACTTGTCTCATACAAGTCCTAGGAATCTTGTGTGATGATTTAGACTAGGCTTGCATGTGACTTTTATAAATATTGAATATGAAACTCTAAACAGCATGTTTTCTTCTGTTGTTTAGCTAACTTTCCTGAACAAGTAGTAGATAATCTTCCAGCTGATATATCTACTGGCATTTATTATGGTTGGGCCAGTGTTGGAAATGGAGATGTCCATAAGATGGTGGTGAGCATAGGATGGAACCCATACTACAAGAATACTAAAAAATCCATGGTAAGAATTAAGAATTGTATTTCACTCCATAAATGAGGATGAGGTGATGATTTAGAGTAATATGCAGGTAGAACTCATCAGTGGTGATCACAACAGTAATCCAGATTCTAGAATTTTGGCAGTGTATCTGAAGGGTTTAAAAGTGAAGTATTGGAATAACTTTTCCATCCTTTCAAGCTGTTTGTGTCTTTGGATCTAAAGTGAGTCTCTAGTCTCTTATAAAGAGGGTTGGATTTTCTATTTTTTAACTATTCTGCTTATCTCTGACTTTTGGTTGGAGAGTTTAATCCACTTATATTTAAAGTAATTACTAGTAAGGAGGGTCTTCTGCTATTTTACTTGTTTTGTTTTTTTATATGCCTTACAGCTCTTTTGTCCATTGGTTCTTCGATTACTGCCTTGTTTGTTTAGTTGATTTTTTTTTTTTTGTAGTAATACGTGTTGATCCCTTCTTATTTCCTTCTGTGCATTTTCTGTAGATATTTTCTTTGTGGTTACCATGGGGAGTGCATTTAACATCCTAAAGTTATAAAAATCCATTTTGAATTTATACCAAATTGGTAGTATACCAAAACTCACAGATTATATCATTGTGTACCCAATAACATAGATTAATCAATTTTATAAATTATGGAGAAAATAGAAAGTGGAATCACAAACCAAAACTACAATAATTAAATTTTATAACTGCCCGTGTATTTACCTTTATTAGAAATAAAAGTGAAATAAAGTTGAGTTTGCCACAGTTAATGTAGGTCATTTACCCTTTAATTATTGCTGACTCTGTTAGGGCTTCCCAGGAGGCACAGTGGTAAAGAATCTGCCTGCAATGCGGGATACCCAGGTTCAATCCCTGAGTTGGGAAGATTCCCTGGAGAAGGAAATGGCAACCCACTCCAGTATTCTTGCCTGCATAATCCCTTGGACAGAGGAGAATGGCAGACTTCAGTCCATGGGTTCGCAAAGAGTCAGACATGACCGCAGCAACTGAGCACGCACGCACCCTGTTGAGGTAGAACTGCTTACTCTATGAATGGTGCTTTCTGATAAAACTGCAGAATGATGCTTTTTCTCATCTTTTAACCGCCTTTGAGGGTATACATATTTTCCTGTTCTTATTATCAAATGTACACAGCTTAAGTGCTTAATCTTCTAGATATGGCTGAATCTTTTGGTCATCTAAATTTCATTCTCTTTGAAGGGTTTATAAAAATCTGTCCCAATTGGAAAGCTAGCTGAAAAAGTACTGGTGTAGGCAGTAGAAATGGTCCAGGACTACTTAATGTTATGCTCAATGGTCCTCTTATTTTTCAGGATTAAGGGTGTGTTGGCGTAGATAAAGAAAAGAATTGATGAAAGAACACAAAATATTTTTCTGTGGAGTGAGGGAGGAAATGAAAGGGAGGGGAGGCTATCCCATGACTGATTTTTTCTTATTTAGCTACTCAGATAACAACTCTTATTACAGAGCCAGTTAAGGAGTGCCTTCTGTAGTTAGGAGAAACTCAGTTTTCCATTGGTAGGAGGTTCATTTTAGAGTTTTTCTTTTTCCTTTTCCTTGCTGATAACAGATGTACATGATATACCTATTGAAGTCTTTATTTACTCCTTTTTTAAAAAAGTAGGATTGTCTTACTGACTGAAAGAAGTTCTTAACATTCTGGATCCAGTTGTTTTGTTGGAACTAGTATGACAAATGTCTACTGTGTTGCTTTTTTTTTCTTTTAATTTGATTAATGGAATGGTGTCTTTTGAGGAAGAGTTGCTTTGCTCATTGCCTCTTTGGTGTATTTGCTCAGTTTTTTCACCTTAATAAGAGTCTTAATTATTTTGTTGCATGTTAACTTTTTCTAAAAACAGCAAATCACACCAGATTTGTGCCATAGCATCTACCTTACTCAGCTATGATGTTTACCTGTAAGGTCAGGGTCAAGAACAGGAGCAATGGAAGAGTTTAGGAAAAACTGCACTTACGTTTTAACCTGTCTTTAAAAATTTAAGGAAGGTTGATTGTTTCATTTCAGTGACCCCCACCATAAAAATAAAGATATGTTCAATTTTAACATCTTTTGACTGTAGGAAACTCATATCATGCATACTTTCAAAGAGGACTTCTATGGGGAAATCCTCAAAGTGGCCATTGTTGGATACCTCAGACCAGAAAAGAACTTTGATTCTTTAGGTAAGTTCTTTTTTAGATCTTCTTAGATATTGCTGCAGCTCCTTTTACTGCTTCTCCTAATAATAATCACGGCAGGACAGATTGTATTTGAGCATGTAATATGCCAGTCCCTGTTTTAAGAGCCTTATGTGAATGAACTCACTTTATCCCCACAACGACCACATGAAGTATTATTTAGTCTATTTTGCAGGTGAGGAAATTGTTAGAGAGGTTAAGTAGTTTGCCTGAGGTAACATAGTAAGTGATGCAGCCTAGATTCAAACTCTGTCTCCCCAACAGTATGAAGTTAGTGAAATATATTTCCTTTTGTATTTTGAGAACAAGTAAGAATTAATACTGTGAATAATGGGTGCTTAGCAGTACTTGAAGTGTAAGAAACAGTAAATCAGAACATTTAAACTAATTGGTGCTGAGTATCTTATTGTAGTGTGATAGTTTTAATTCTAATGTAGAGTTTCTTTTACAAGTGTAAATACTGAAGAGAATTGATAGTGTTTGTTTCTTTCATTTAGTATATGACTTGTACCTTTTTGCTAATGCCTTTCACTAAGTAATTGCAAGACAATTAGGGACATCCTTTATGTTCCATTGACTTTTACTTAAGTCTAGAAGAAAGGATGAAACAAACATTACTGGCATCTACCCTGTGCCAGGGACACTGCCAGCTTCTGAGATTTAAGGAGAAGCTGAACAAAGGAGTAGTAAAAAGCCCAGCAGCAGTTTTTCATTATCTTTACCTGGTATATTCTCTCTGCAGAGTCACTTATTTCAGCAATTCAAGGTGATATTGAAGAAGCTAAGAAACGACTGGACTTACCAGAACATTTGAAACTCAAAGAAGACAAATTCTTCCAGGTTCCCAAAAGCAAGATAATGAATGGCCACTGATGGAAAAATCATCTTATTTATTCATTCACTGTTTCCTAATATTTTACTGCTCATAACTCTGCAGTCTCACATTGGTTATATTTTAAAAAAACAAACATTTTCCTATAGCTGTGAATTAAACAGTGCAATGTAGTTATCATATTATGTTCCAGCTGTTCAATTAAACCCATCATGTCACAGTACTAAAAAAGTTTATTTTAAAAAATCAAGATTTTTATGTAATATGTTGATTAAAATATACCACTAGAAAGGTCTTAAGTGTCTTATAATGGAAATGAAATATGTATAAATATGGGTAACAGGCAGGTCATTAGTCTGAAATGAGAACAATAATTCTCATGGTAAAATTCTAGCATGCGTGTACTTGTATAGCATGCTCT